TTCTTTCATGCCTGATAGGACAGGAATTTTGACATAATGGAAAGGACATAAGCCTAGAAACAGATGGAATTCTGCTATTTTAGATATCAAGTAACTCAGGGACGTTTCTTAACTTCTCTGGGAGTCGCTATTTTCTGTTTATGAAAGGGTGGGTTCTAGTTTATATAGTGCTTATGTTTGGGACATGCTTTCCTGGCCAGAGCACGTGTGATCCAGGTACAGTGGGTGGGAAGTATGCTGCAACCAGTCTGGCACCACCGGGATCTGTTTCCAGATCATTGGCTAGCCTTGGGGAGTTTCATTTGGAGAAAGAGTTCCGACGCTTTACAAGTTTTTAAACAACTGGTGCAAAAATGTTTTAAGCAAGGTTTTGTTTCTGAAATTCTCTATGGAATACAAATGTTGAGTGCCTTCAGTAAAGGATGATTAGCTATTCAAAAGTTTTCTTCGCGTAACTTTTAGCACAGTATATCTCCCTGTGGTTTTGCTGATTACTGGGTTTACTAGCAATAATCTGCATCCTTCCTTTATATTTATATAGTTTGAGTAAGTGTTCCAGTCCTAGCATGTTCTGTAGGTTGACAGTCCCTCACAATCATGATAAGATGAGAAAATTACTTTCAAATTATATTCAACAGGTAAACTTCTTTGGCTGTCGTATTATGTTTATCGACTGTGTGGCTTGCCCACTAAAGTAAGTGTGAGTTATTGTTTAGCTTTAGATGTCACTTGGCCATGGGTGTGGGTGGCTCCTGTGTGGTCCGTAGCTGTACTTGACGTCACTGGGAATTTTAACCTCCAGCCTCTTTTGCAAATCTGGGTGCTACATGAAAACAGGATTAGGCAGGAAAATATGGATGAATCTCCATCATCCATGCTATCCAGTGAAAGGCAGTAAACAACATACTCTATTTTTTTTCTTTTTGGAGACAGGGCTTTACTCTGTCATCCAGGCTGGAGTGCAATGGCTCAATCTTGGCTCACGGCAGCCTCGACCTCCTAGGCTCAAGCGATCTTCCCACCCTAGCCTCCTGGGTAGCTGGGACTACAGGTGTATACCACCATGCCCAGCTAATTCTGTATTGCTCAGGTTGTTCTCAAACTTCTGGGCTCAAGTGATCCTCCTGCCTTGGCTTCCCAAAGTGCTGAGATTACAGGCATGAGCCACTGTACCTGGCCCAAAAAATATATTCTTAAAGAACAATGGATACCACAGTTTATAAGACATTACCTGTGCAAAACTCAAACCAAAGGGCAACAACAGCAACAATAAAAACTCATCGCCTCAGTGACAGAAAATGAGAAGTTCCTCTGAGCTATTTAATTTCCACAAAGTTAAGTGCCCTCCCCCAGCAAAGAGGAAAAACCACTACAAACAGAAAAACTCCCCAGTTCCTGAAGGACACTTAAACCAAGGAAACTAAAGACAGTTTGGGGTTAATGTATATATTTTACAAACATTTTCCTATTTCTGAAATGGGCTTTGTCGAACAGCTTTCTTCAATGAAAGCTTTAAATCATTTATTTCAACAACTTTAATTAGGAGAGATAAATCTTATTTTTGTGATAATTCAGATCCTAGATTTATTACTTCTGGATGATTCTAATTTATTCAGACAAATGGAAGGGAAAAGAAACAGTAAAATATACATATACGTTTTATTATTACGATTTTAAATGTCTACCATTTTAATAAGCATTTTCTTTTCCTTCACATTATGCTTCTTTTCTTTCTTTCTTTCTTTTTTTGAGATGGAGTCACTCTGTCATCCAGGCTGGAGTGCAGTGGCACGATCTCAGCTCACTGCAATCTCCGCCTCCTGGGTTCAAGTGATTCTCCTGCCTCAGCTTCCTGAGTAGCTGGGATTACAAGAGCACACCACCAGCCCCAGCTAATTTTGGTATTTTTAGTAGAGGCAGGGTTTCGCCATGTTGGCCTGGCTGGTCTCAAACTCTTGACCTTGTGATCCACCTGCCTTGGCCTCCCAAAGTGCTGGGATTACAGGACTGAGCCATTGCACCCAGCTCTGCCTGTAATTTTGATTTATTAAAATAATACTCCTTGGCAGGACACTGTGGCTCATACCTGTAATCCCAGTACTTTGGGAAGCTAAGATGGGTGGATTGCCTGAGCCCAGGAGTTCCAGACTAGCCTGGGCAACATCGTGAAACCCTGTCTGTACAAAAAATACAAAACTTAGTCCAGTGTGGTGGTGCGCGCCTGTAGTCTCAGTTACTGGGGAGACTGAGGCAGGAGAATCATTTGAGCCCAGAAGGCAGAGGTTACAGTGAGCCAAGATTGCGCCGCTGCACTCCAACCTGGGTAACAGAGTGAGACTGTCTCAAAAAAAAAAAAAAAAAAAAACAAACACAAAACCCCAAAAAACTACTCCTCTGTTAGGCAGAGCAGTTATCTTAACTGATGGGCTGTAAATCCTATGACAAAGAGGTATAATTTACCAACACAAAGCTATACAGAATTCCCATGGGATTTTGAGCAAGTAAATGATTTCTTCTTAATCTCACTGAAATAAAAATGTTCTGTTTTCTTTTAAAATCTGCTCTGAATATGACTGATTCCTCTTTACTAACTACAAGGTCATTTCTAAGGTTAGCCAGAGAGAAAGTTGCCTGTCGGTAATGTGTTTCTATCAGCACAAGGGGAGTTATCTGTGAGTGGCAGGGAAAAAATAGCTGACCTTCAGCAAGTGAAGACTCTGACAGACTTTGGATTCTGATTTTTTAAACCAAGTTTTAAGAAAACAAGCTACTTTTAAACCTCTTTGTTGTGCTTCCAAAATTCTATAACTATACCCTTGCTATAGCATACTTAATGTTGTATTGTAATTATTTGTTTTATTACTGCAGACTTTAATATCCTGCAGAAAAAAGAGTCATGCCTTCATCATCTTCACGTGTCTAGCATTGAGTCTGTTGTGTAACATCGCAGATGTTCAATAACTGCTTTTTATTATTTATTTATTTATTTTTGAGCTGGAGTTTCACTCTTGTTGCCCAGGCTGGAGTGCAATGACATGATCTCAGCTCACTGCAACCTCTGCCTCCTGGGTTCAAGCCGTTCTCCTGCCTCAGCTTCTGGAGTAGCTGGGATTACAGGCATGTGCCACCACGCCTTGCTAATTTTGTACTTTTTTTAGTAGAGATGGGGTTTCTCCATGTTGGTCAGGTTAGTCTCGAACTCCTGACCTCGGGTGATCTGCCCGCCTCAGCTTCCCAAAGTGCTGGGACTACAGGCGTGAGCCACTGCGCCTGGCCAATAACTGCTTTTTATTTTTTGTTTTTATTTGAGAGGGAGTTTCGCTCCTGTTACCCAAGCTGGAGTGCAATGGCACGATCTCGGCTCACCGCAACCTCTGCCTTCTGGGTTCAGGCAATTCTCCTGCCTCAGCCTCCTGAGTAGCTGGGATTACAGGCACACGCCACCATGCCCAGCTAATTTTTTGTATTTTTAGTAGAGACGGGGTTTCACCATGTTGACCAGGATGGTCTCGATCTCTTGACCTCGTGATCCACCCGCCTCGGCCTCCCAAAGTGCTGGGATTACAGGCTTGAGCCACCGCGCCTGACCATTTTTTTTTTTTTTTTTTAAGGATAATTCTACTGTGCAACTGCGTGGCCTTTTTTATTACACATTAGAGAAGAACAATCAATTCATTTTTTTTTTTTTTTTTTTTTTTGAGATGGAGTCTTGCTCTGTCGCCTGGGCTGGAGTGCAGTGGCCCAATCTCTGCTACAATCTCCACCTTCAGGATTCAAGTGATACTTGTGCCTCAGCCTCCCAAGCAGCTGGGATTACAGGCGCCTGCCACCCCGCCCGGCTAATTTTGTATTTTTAGTAGATACAGGGTTTCACCATGTTGGCCAGACTGGTCTTGAACTCCTGACCTCAGGTGATTCACCCGTCTCAGCCTCTCAAAGTGTAGAGATTACAGGCGTGAGCAACTGCACCAGTCCCTGAATTTCTGAAATCAATGTTTTACTATAGCATTTTTAAGGGCAATTACTGTACCCTATTCATCTTTGCATGTTGCAGAGTATTTTCACATCCTAGGTTATAATTATTTGCTGAACAAATTAGATGTATAGAGGGAAAACATCCTAAATGAAATTTTGTACATTATGCCCTGACATCCTCCCTCCATGCATGTCTTCCTTTCCTCCACCAATGGATATTATGGGCTGTTTGTGTAGAGGCTGACTTCCAGCCATTGATTCTGTTTGAGAAAAAACACTATCTTGTTTATACATCAGTGTTTGTACAGGTTGAGCATCTCTAATCTGAAACTCTGAAATCCAAAATGCTCCCAAATTCAAACTTTCTTTTTTTTAAATTTATTTTTTTATTTTTATTTTTTGAGACGGAGGCTCTTTGTTACCCAGGCTGGAGTGCAATGGCGCGATCTCGGCTCACCGCAACCTCCGCCCCCTGGGTTCAGGCAATTCTCCTGCCTCAGCCTCTTGAGTAGCTGGGATTACAGGCACGCGCCACCATGCCCAGCTAATTTTTTGTATTTTTAGTAGAGACGGGGTTTCACCATGTTGACCAGGTTGGTCTCCATTTCTCGACCTCGTGATCCACCCGCCTCGACCTCCCAAAGTGCTGGGATTACAGGCTTGAGCCACCGCGCCCGGCCCCAAATTCAAACTTTCTAAGCACTGACATAATGACCACAAGTGGTGAATTTCACACTTGACCTCATGTGATGACTTGCAGTCAAAATGCAGTCAAAACTTTGTTTCATGCACAAAATTATCTAACATATTGTATAAAATTACCTTCAGGCTGTTTGTATAAGGTATATATAAAACAAAAATAAATTTAATGTTTAGGGTTGAGTTCCATCCCCAAAGATCTCTCATTACCTCTATGCAAATATTCCAATATCCGAGAAAATCCAGAATTCAAAATATTTCTGGTCCCAAGCATTTTGGATAAGGGGTACTCAATCTGTATAATCATGTAAACAATTAACCACTTTGCTTTTATTAAAGATACGAGGAAATTGAGACCATGATGCAAATTATTGGTTGTGTTAACAGTGACAAACTTTTATCTCACTACGTGCTTACTCCTTGAATTTAAGATGTTCAGCTGTAAAAAGAAAAAGAGCAAGACATTTTGTCCAAAATTATGCCTAAAGGGTCAAGGTGTCATGAGAAGTGCTGTAATATGACAAGTTTTGGAAAGCGCACCCCCCCCAACTCTCTTTACAATGTAAATATGTAGTTTGATTTTTATTTTTGTTTTCAGTTCACAAACATTTTGGAAGATAATTAGCGGCATTGTTTGGAAATATGAAAAATTTATTAGAAGGATCTTTAAATGGCTTTTGCTAAAGAGTCATTTAACAGTATTCCATATTATAGAAACAGCTTTTCATGGATGGTGTGACTGGGTCTGGATCCAAACCCAGTTCGGTTCTTGGAGCCCACGGTGTAGTTAACACTCAGCCTCTTAACTGGGAGCGGCCCTGGAACAAGTCTCTGGAATGCTCAAGCTCCGAGTCACTCAACGGTACCAAGCTGATGATCTCTGCCCAGGGTTCTTTGCAACCCTCAGGCTCAAGTCCCAGGAGGCCTCCGCCGCTGACTTTTGGGAACAGCACTGAGTTCTGGAGAGGATTGGGTCTGCGAAGGGCACCAGAGACCAGCGTCTGCAAGGTTCTTGTACAAAATTTGGAAACTGGACCTGGCGTTGAAAGCTCCTCGTTTACGACGACCATCAGAAGGGAAAAAAATAAAATAAATTGCAATTTTTATTTTCATGTTATCCCATGAAAAAATAGTTGCAGTGTTTTCCTTCTTATGCAAAAGAGATTAATATTTACGGTGAAGACTTTACCAGGAAGTGGTGGTTTTCTATAAAAATAGGTTTTACACATTAGAAATCGGACTTCTGAGTTCCTGGAATAAAACGAAACAAAAAAAGCCCCCAAATAAAACTCCATCTTCTAAGCGTTCCCTCCTTCACTGTGCTTCCATTCCATGAGAGGCCGTTAGCATTTCCAGGGATGAACAAAAGTCAATGTTTAACAAGTAACTCTCCAATCGAGAGGCCCTTCCATGCCAGCTATTTCCGCCCGGGAACCGAGGAAATCCTCAAAAGCCAGGCCGCGCATTCCCCGCCCGAGCCGCCCCTGCGCCGAACGCAGCGGCCCCCGTGAGCGCCTGTTTTTCCCGCGGTGGCTGCGCCCGGGGCGCTCGGGTCGCCGGGACCCCGCCCCGCCCGGCGTTACTCAGGCCTCGGAGGCGCAGGGCGGAGCCGCGGGCAGCGGGCGCAGGTGGGGAGGGGTTGGTGACACCAGCGGAGGGGCGGGGAAGGCGCGGCGGCGGCACCCCGCCCTGGGAAGAAACCCACCAGGTGTGGCCTCGGCGCCCGGTGCCAGCGGGGAGGAGACTCTCGCTGCCGCCGACCAACACCAACACCCAGCCCCGACGCAGCTCCTCTGCGCCCTCTCCGCCCTCCAAGCCACAGCTCTTCTTCCCGCTCCTGCCCCCGGCAGGTCGCCGTCCTCGCGCTCGTAGCGGCCGGGAGGGCCCAGGTGCCGAGCAACAACCGCGCGAGCCCCCCGCACTCCCGCCCGGTTCCCCGGCGGTCCACCTTTCCTCGGCCCCCTCGGCCTTCTCCGCGCCGGCCTGCCTCGCTTATGCCTCGGCGCTGAGCCGCTCTCCCGAGTGCCCGCCGACATGAGCTGCAACGGAGGCTCCCACCCGCGAATTAACACGCTGGGCCGCCTGACCCGCGCCGAGTCCGGCCCGGACCTACGCTACGAGGTGACCTGCGGCGGCGGGGGCGGCGGGGGCACCAGCAGGATGTACTACTCGCGGCGCGGGGTGATCACCGACCAGAACCCCGACGGCTATTGGTGGGTATCCGCCGGAGAGCCCGGGCTACCGGCCTGCGGGACTGGGAGACTCGAGTCCAGAAGGTGGAAAGGCTTTTGCCCCAGGTCCCTTCCCGGCCTCCCTGGGAACAGGACCCAGGTGCCTTGGCTTGTGCGGGGACAGGGCAGCCCCTGCCCTGCGAGCGGGGACTCGGTCCTACCCTCCTCCCCTCCCGCGCGCCCGGGCGGGTGGTCAGAGGGGGCATCTCGTCGCTCCCTGCCCGGGCCAGCGCGGGGCCGAGGAGTGCGCGCCGCCCCGGCCGTCCCCTGCCTGCGGGACTCGGCTGCTGTCGCCTTTGTCCCAGCCGCGGGATGGGAGGTCGGGAGAGGTGGGGTTGCAACCGCAAAAGTAAAAGAGTAAAGGAGCGGGGCCCCGGCCCTGTCTGGTGGCCAAGTGGTGCTCCGGGGTCCACCGTCTCTACCCGCCCACCCCTAATCCCCGGTCACCCCGAGACCACGATTGCGGCGGCGCCTGGACCACTCGGCCACCCGAGGGCGTTTGTGTGAAGACTGAGCGTCCCAGAGGCGCGGGGTCCTGTCCCGCGGAGGCCCCGCTTCGGCTTCCCCTGTCCCCCAAATGAAACTTCCCCGCCGGGGTGGCTGCCGGGCCTGGGGCTTGAAGTTCGGCTGGGACGCGCCTGTCCCCTCTCTCGTCCGCTCCGCAGCCCCCCACATGCGAGCGCACCTGTGGCCCTGCCTCTGAGCCTTTTGTTTCCTCCTTTTTAAAAACACCGGATGAGCGACCCCAGTGTGCCTTCGGTCGTCGAGCGCCGGCAGCGTGTCTGCTTTGATTCAGAATGTGTGGGCCGAGGGGCATGGGTGGAGGACCACGCGGGGGTCCCGCCCCGGCCTAGGTACCCCGGGAAGACCTCCAGGTGATAGGGCTGGGTCAGCCTCTCCGGATCCTCGAGGAAACAGACCAAGGGCATCATTTGGTTGGCTGGGGAAAGATCCCGTCCCTGCTTTGAGCGGGTCTCGGGAGCTGTACTCTGGCTGGATGCCCAGTAAGCCTTGCGCGTTTTGCAGCCCGCCCCATCTCCCAGCCCCCTGCTGGTTCTTCCCAAATTGGGCTTTTGGGAAAGAGGCCCTGAGCGCCGGGACGTTATTTACCATGTGTTGTGGCCCTAGGCCTGGGAGGAGCAAACTGAATGCGCTCCAGGGGAGTTTTGTTTTGCAAGCAGTTTTGAAGGCAGGGACTATTCGAGTTGCAACCTGTTTTCTGCTTAGATTGATTTATTTATTTCTGGAGCATCTTGATAATCTGTTTTCGCTTTTTTGAGTTAGCAAAGAATTGTCTCAATCTTGGAGTTCTTTCTTGAACAGAATGTGTCTGGGGATTTCCAGGGAAACTGTGCCAAGCAATAAGAGGAGTGAAAACTTGGATTTTCATTACATTTGTTTTAAAATTTTGCCAGCCATTTAAATCTGAAATTTAAATATTCTGTCCTCCAGGATTTGAGATTCACAACCTTTAAATGTGTGGGTTACACACAGTTCAAATCCAAGTCAGAATGTGTAAGGATTCTTCAGTAGCTCTTTTGGCATTTTTATGAATCAAGTATTTATTTTGATTATTATTTATTACTATGCTTTTGCTAGCCTGGATTTCTTTTAAATAGATAATAATCAGTTTTATTAATCGAATATTTCACTCCCTTGGTTTCTTATACCTTTTGTAGAAAAGTAAAACATTAACAAATTAATTGGTTAATGAACAGCATCAAGATACATGTTTTATTAGGATTCCCCACTGAGACATTTAATTTTGGGCAGACTCCATGTTTTTTCATTGTATAGTGTCATTTCTCATGTTCTGTTTTTCCAACTTAAAGCCTATTCATAAACCTGTCAAGTCTCACATCTCTCTGGGAAGGGGAAAGAGACCCAAGTGAAAAATTACCTAACTTTGAGGAAGGATGATTTTTTTTTTTTAACTCATTAATGCTGTTCTGCCTGGCAGTGGGGTGTCAGGCTCAGGGCTTGAGTAAATAGGTGGTCATTCTTTCTGGGGACCCTGGCAATGGAGTTTCGTCCAGAACTTGTCCCAGCCTGCAGGCGTGCTGCTGACTACCAAATAGCCCACATATGCTGACTTCTGCATTTCAAATAATGGCGACTGACTGAAGACAGGGCATGTACCAGTTTTTCTTGTGGCATTCTGGTTTTGTGCGGAGGGATGTATTTGGCCTTGGCATACACTTTGTAGAAGCAGGGTCCCCTCTGTGCCCAAGGGAGCCACTGTCCTCTGTTAAGTGAATGATGATTAAGAAAAATATTTCTCTGACCCAAAGGTTTTCTAAATAAAGGTTTTTGTGGTTTTCTTTTCTTTTTTCTTTCTTTTTTTTTTTTTTTTTTTTTTTTTTTTTTAGCACGAACACTAGTATAGAAACTATTGGTTGACTTTAAATTCATTTATTTCAAAAACTGCTACTTTATGGCTGAATTATTAATAGATTGGTGATTTTTGAGCTGAGTGTTTTGTATTTAGCCCTTCCCTAAATAAAGTAATTTGAATGTGTAGAGAGCCCAACTCTTTGTTTTCCTTTTAAAATGACTTTAACACTTCTGTCTCTCTGTCCTTTCTACAAACAGCACTTACCCATTTTTAGGACGGTAATTAGATCTCATTTGTATTGTAATCCCCACTTTTCCCCCACCACCCGCCTGTTCTTTGTGTGGTATCTGCAACTACTTGTTAACATTGTGTGCAATGTTAACATTGTTAACATTCTTTGTGTGGTATCTGCAAGGTTGTAAATGTTACAACCTTGATAATGTAATAATAGACACATATATTTTTTGAAGTGTAAATTTTGGATTTTTCTTGGATAGGATGTTATATTAATACTGTTTTCAATTACAGCAGAATTACTTTAGTCTTATTCCTGTTATTAAAACAAATTACAAATCTGTAATGAAATTTGTTACTAAGTAACAAAGGCCCACAGTTAGATCTTTCACCCATCAAAGTGTGATTTGTAGGAGGATTAAAAGCAGAAAACAGTCATTAAGCTTCAGAAATATGTGTTTATAATATTAATGCTTATTTTCCTTCAGATCTCATGAGTTCAGAACTGAGATATATATGATCATTATTTCATACACATTTCAAAGTTAGTCTTAAATTAGGTTTTAAGAGAAGCTTGTTTCTTACCATGAGATAAACAGGTCTATTCACCTGGAATTTTAGAGCAGGGGACCTCTAAGGATCACTTGGCCTAGGCAGAAACCCCGCTTGCACACTTTACAGACAGGAAACTGAGGAAGTGCCCACAATCCTGGAATCCACTTATATGGCTGGGTTGGCCTGAGGACCCAAGGCTCCTCACCTTGGTTTTCCCTGTGCCTTCACAGCCTGATTTTTAGAGTGGACAGGGCTGCAATTACACCACAAAAAGGGTGTCAAATTCCATTAATTCTTTCATTCAGCAAGTATTTACCGAGTATCTGCTGCATTCTGTGTTAAGTGTCAGGGGAGATCAAGGTGGAACTCTATACCCTTGAAAGCAGTGTAGGTCTTTTCAAGGAAGATAAGTACATGAATACTAGCATAAAAAGGGGAACGCACAGGAGGGGTATACGGGGCTTTAAAGACTTCACAAGGAGGTGAAAGGGTATCTGTCGTAGGGGCATCGGGAAGACTTTATAAAGGAAGTGGTGTTGAACTAGACTTTGGAGTATTTCAGCTGTGTAAAGATGGATGCGCAGAGCACCTTCCAGGGGGAGAGAAGAGCATGAGAAAAGTCTGAGATGTCTATGGAGTGAGATCTCCTTTTTGAGCATTCCCTCTGAGCATGGAGACAGTGAGATGAAAGGAGGAAGCATCCTTTCTCACCAAGGCATTGGAGACCTTGAATGCCCTGGAGACGGATTTGGATTGGCAGAGGGAAGCTGGGGCAGATTTTTATTGAAGCCATTGAAAGTCTCCTCCAGCCAGGTGCGGTGGCTCACGCCTGTAATCCCAGCACTTTGGGAGGCCAAGGCGGGTGGATCACGAGGTCAAGAGATCGAGACCATCCTGGTCAACATGGTGAAACCCCATCTCTACTAAAAATACAAAAAATTAGCTGGGCATGGTGGCACGTGCCTGTAATCCCAGTTACTCAGGGGGCTGAGGCAGGAGAATTGCCTGAACCCAGGAGGCGGAGGTTGCGGTGAGCCGAGATCGCGCCATTGCACTCCAGCCTGGGTAACAAGAGTGAAACCCTGTCTCAAAACAAAAAATAAAAAAAATAAAAAAAAAAAAAGAAAGTCTCCTCCATTGAAGGAGCAGGGAAGTGAAACAATCATAACTGAGTTTCTGGACTGTTGAGGCGTTGGCTTAAGGAAGCCATTGTGCCACTGAAGGAGGGAGGGAATGAAAGTCTGAACAAGGGTGAGAGCGGTGGATGGGAAAGTAGGTACTGCCAAGGTGGAGTGACAGCTTCAGCTAAGAATTGGATGCGAGAAGCAAGGGAGAGTCTGAGAAAACAGGTCCAGAGCTTGAGTGACTCATAGCATGGATAGTCTAAATACTTTTCTGGGAAACGATTGCAAAGCAAGATCTAGTTTAGCTTAATACGTGGCAGGTAACATTGACATGGTTATTTAGTGTAAGTTGTATGTTTCATAAAAATATCAGGTCTGTGGTTAATAATACCATTATTATTATTATAATATAATAATTACCATTACTTGGTAAACACTGGTGATGTGCCTGGTATTGTATGTTTGTTATCTCAAGCCTCATAACAAAATTCCAGTTCACAGATGGGAAGCTGAGGTTAAAGTGTTTAAATGGCTTGCCTAAGGTCACACAGCTAGTA